TCTTGTGGACTATGCACGTACAGTTAGGCGTATTCTTCTCAGATTTTGACAATGCCGAGAAATGTACACTTTCATTTGAACCGTTGGAGGGAGGCCTAGGTGGACCAAAAGTAATCACCCACTGGCTGGATTGTTAAACAATTGTGCTTGGAGTGTACCTCAACAGAAGCCAGCTTAATGCACACTTAATTCACATTCTAGGAAGCGTCGAACTTCTTCGTAGGTGACAACTGCAGTAAGGAGATTCACTCTTTCATAACGTTCATTGCTTGATATATTATGCTTTGGCTTTAGGGCGTAAGGGATTTCCCATGAACTCACGCACAGCAACTGGAGTAATCCGTTGCTTCAATTTTTCTGACATTGTCAAGAACTGTGTAGTTGGAGCAGGAACGTATTAGAATTATGGGATACACCCAACGTCTATAAGTATATATACTAATTCGCACCTGCTGACTAGGGCCACAGTTCATGCAGATAATGAAATGGTTAGTTACTTGACACCAACTAAGTGCTCTGCAAAATTTGAGCGTGCTTGGTCATTAAGACCACTCAATGTACATTTGGGCCCGCCGTTTTTCATCATAAGCACAACCAAAAGACCGCCTCAACTGAACGTCTACTGTCTCCCCAAATCCCTTTAAGACAGGGTTAGTTGGCCTTTATTTCAAGTAGGGTTTCCACTTGGTGTCATTTAGAAGGCTCTTTTGAAATCTCTAAGGCCAGTACAATCGACCTACAAACCAAATGTCAGTTTGAAGTAACAAGCCACATGGCCTCAGACCAAAGCAGGTTTGACCTGGTTCTGCATATCTAGACTGTGAGTTAGCTTAAGAAGTTAACTGTCAGTTTACCGTCGATAAGTACATTTTAGACGGAAAACACAGTTGTTTCCATGCAGTATAAGGTCATCGATGTGCGGCGTCAGCAAAACCAGCTGTCACTTTTAACTGCTGCATAACAGCAGTAAATATATTGCAGCGGGATTGCCTTACACGGAGGAGGCCTTTTGCAAAGATATAGTTTTGTCCACCCATTTCCGACCACAACCGTCCAAGAACGATGCTCATTGCGTCTGATTGCTATTTGAAGTATAGAAGTGATCTTACACTAATGCACACGTCCTTTCGCGAAATGGAGATAATAAAAGAAACACGTATGATTATTTGTTTATGTCTTCGAATGCATGTTTGGTTCACTATCGTAAAAAACAGTCAACTCATAAAAAGTAAACGGTAGCGCTAATAGTGTGCCGAGATAATCGGCCTTTGACAGATTATCTTTTTTCTTCTTGCTCTGTCTCTGCTCAGTATAAATTTGGAGTTCTGAGATATCCATTTGTGTCGCTTACGGGGTCATTGACAATGTTGCGCACATTTTACACGTTTCATACTGTTAGAGAATTCGCTGTCTCATAGCTTGCCCTAGTGGTCTTGTGCATAGACGGTTGGAGGTAAACAACAGTGTCGCTTTCCCCGTGAATGGAGTTCCGTAGCAAACGTGAAATAAAGACTACGTCTATGTATACTATCAAATGGTTGATTCCTCTTTATACTATGACTGGCTGATGACGGCTGATAAGCCGGAGAGTGACTCTTCGGTCTCTCTTGTCTTTGTCGACACCGACTCTTTTGCGTCTACTACTACTTTTCGATGTGCGAAAGCCTGCGGTGGTGCTAGTATGATACGTAAGACACAGCGTAACAAGCACGTTTCGTAACCTGATCGGTTCGCTTTATAATTGATATGTGGCGGCTCGGGTCTCCTTGCCCCCCGCCTTTGCCACGCTGCCTTCCTGTCCGCCTGACACTCCTTGTTGATATGCTGCCGGGACGCACGAGGCTTGTCAATAGACACGCCAGTGCTCCAGGCCAATCAACGCTGTCCCCCGCTCTGATTGGCTGGCAGACGCGGAGACAAAGAAAGGCGCACAAACGCACTGGGTCTCAGCAATTCGAAGGCGGACACGGTCAGCAACACACTTGGACAGCGCGCTCTCGGAGACTGCCTACAGAGCCTTTGTTTACGCATTTCCAAAATAGTAACGGTTGTTTAACTCACTCCGTCTTCCCTGACTTTTGATTGGGCATCATTGTGTTGACGACCACACCACTTTCGACAGTTATTCTCAATAACAATTGACAGCACAACGAGCTCGTGACTCGAGTGCGAAAATATTGGACTCCATGATCAAATACCCTGTGTTCGAATGTCAACTAATTTGCGCTTTGAGTTGGGTACGACTGGCAGGTTACGGCTTTAAGCCACATAGTTTCATTCCGGTCACACTTTTCTTTGTCGGTAACACCTTAAATACGTAATTATTTGAAAGAAGTAAGCTCTTTGGGAATGATAAACAAGTTTTATTGTAAATGTTCGACCTTGGTTCCCCAAGTCGTCTTCAGACGTGAATTAACTGTGCAAAACAGTTAACATTTAAACACGCCGAAAAAATCGATTGTGCCTTGTCACTTCTGCTGGTGTAATGTTCTGATTTGCTAACGCCTTTTCCAATTTTCCTTGAGGCACTTGTACACCGTATCCAATTCTACGTGTCGATTAATGCATGCGCTATCAGAATGGATGGCCTCTAAATATTCACGGCCCTTTTTGAATGAGCATACACCTACAATGCGAGTCCTGTCCCCGCGAATTTGTGTCCCGTTTCCAACGTATGCATGGCAACTTGGGGCATGTGGTTGAGCCTTTTTACGGTCATCTGATGTTCGTGTATTCGCGTAGAGGCTGATTTCTCAGTTTGACCACAGTAAAATGCATTACAGATGTTTCATGGTATCTTATAGACGGCTTCCTTCTTATCTAAATGGCCAACCCTATCCTTAGGGTGTACAAGCTGGTTACGAAGTGTAGTCGTCGGCTTGTGCGCCACATGTATTTGGTGCTTCCTCAGGTGTCTTTCAACTAGTTCGGATACATTCTTAATATACGTAAGTGTTCGACAGTCTTTTGGTATGGGCGCCTGATCGGAACAATCTAGTTCCTTCTCTTTTTATTTTAACTCCTGTCGTCGCATGCATCAGTGCACAAAATATCTAGGATACCCATTCTGGTAAAACAGTTTGAACAAATACTTCAGTTCTGTTTGATATGTTTTGCTGTTGGAGCAGTGAGTTCTTGCTTGGTTAAGGAGGCTGTTCACGGCACTCCGTTTGTGAGAGATCGCGTGATTGCTCTCGTAATGCAAAAGGACTTCCGCGTAGGTTTCTTTCCGCATGCATTAATCGACACGTAGAATTGGATTCGGTGTACAAGGGCCTCAAGGAAAAGTGAAAAAGGTGTTAGTCAATCAGAACAATATACCAGCGGAGTGACAAGGCAAAATCGATTTTTTCGGCGTGTTTCAATGTTAACTGTTTTGCACACTTATTTCACGTCTGAAGACGACTTGGGGAACCAAGAACGAAAATGTACAATAAAACTTGTTTATCTTTCCCAAAGAGCTTATTTCTTTCGAATTATGATTCATGGGATGCCTGGTTTCAATTTCTTTTGGGGATGATGAAAGGGATAAGCTATCTGGACCCCGAATCTTCACTCATGTTTATATGTAAATCTCTAATCGCTGTGCAGGAACCTGCGAGAGTTCTATTTTAAGTCCCAAGGCACAATTAAGCGGGCATGTTGCGTAAGCCTATCGGTAAGCGTCCCTCTGCCGTAATATACCTGTGTACATGTGTACATACATATCCATGTGTATACATATGAACATTTGTGTATGTGTTGTACTCACGGCAGTTCCAGTCCGCGTCCTCTGAAAACATATCTGAGTATTAGTTGATTTGAGTTGTGGTCACGAATTACAGTGTCTATGAATGATTTGTGATTGTGCTTTGCTGCGTACTCGTTGTATATTTTGATCAACTGACATGATCTGAGTTTAGTCTTGGCAACTGTCTGCAAATGCTGTTTTAAAACCCATTAACCGACCAAAGCAGATGTTGGATAAAACCCGAAATATTTTGAGTTAATCAGGCTATGTGAATAATTCGGAGTCTTAACTAGCACAGGGATAAATACTGCAGTTTTCATGGGTTTGCTTATTGCACTTCATTTCTGCATGATCTTCCACAGTCCTTTACGATTCACCGTGTCGAAGGCTTTCGTCAGGTCTGCGAAAGTAGAGTACAGGTGGGTCCGCATCTCCTGGCACTTCTCCTGTAGTTGGCGGGCGGCGAAGATCATATCGTGGTCCCACGATGACGACGGAAGCCGCATTGGCTTTCCGGCAGAAGGCTCTGTTCCAGATGGTTATTGAGGCGGTTGAGGAGGATTCGTGCGAAGATCTTCTCGGCGATGTTAGTCATGGAGATGTCACGATGATTGTCGCAGACTTGGCGATTCACTTTGCGGTTGTAGAGATGCACGATGATTGCGTATTTGAAATCTTGCGGAACTTCACCTTGACGCCACATCTCTTGGAGGAGCGCAGTCGGGTGATCCATCAGTTGGGGACCTCCGTGCTTGTATACATCGGCAGGGATTGCGTCCGATCCGGGTGCTTTCCCGCTGGAGAGCTGCTGTACGGCCCTGATGGTCTCCTGGAGAGATGGCGGGAGGTTAAGGTCCACGTTGGTCTCCACTTGCGGCAAACGCTCGATGGCGGCGTCGGAGATGACGGAGGGGCGGTTGAGGACGCCTCGGAAATGCTCGGCCCATCGCTGTAGGATTTGCGTCTTCTCAGTTAGGAGAGTACTGCCGTCGGCGCTGAGGAGAGGAGCAGTGCCTTTCGTCGGCGAACCGTAGACAGCTTTGTTCGCAGAGAAGAAGTTCTTCCATTCGTGGCGGTCCGCGTACCCTTGGATCTCCTCAGCTTTGCGAGCAGTCCAGACGTCCTGCATCTCGCGCAGTGGTTGCTGAAATTGGCGGTGACTGCGGTAGAAGGCAGCTTTGGTGGCATCAGTGGGGTGATCTGCGTAGGCTTTGTGTAGGCGGTTCTTCTCAGCTAGCAGATTTCTGAGGGCGGCGTCGTTGTCGTCGAACTAGTCCTGGTGTTGACGGGGAGCGCGACCGAGGACGGCGAACACGGTCGACTGGACCGTGTCTCGCAGTTGACACCGGCGGTTCTCCACGGAGGCGTTCTCGGCAGCGGCGGCGTCGAGGGCGGCGGCAGCGATAGAAAGGTTGTCTAGCCGTTGAGCTAGCTCATTGCTGAAATGAAGATGGTGAGTGGGCAAAGACAACAAGGCAACATTCAGCTTACCTGGGGGTCGCTTACTTTGTGGTCTCCTGCGAGGCTGTAGGCGAATACGCATCTTCGACATGACGAGGCGATGGTCGGTCCACCCCTCAGCGCCCGCGATCGCTTTTTTCACCAGCACGTCCCGCTGATCTCGCCTCCGGACGAGGACATAGTCCAGCAGGTGCCACTCGCGCGACCGAGGATGCCTACAGGTGGCATTATCTCGCTTCGGCAGACAGAAGAAGGTGTTCGTCAGGATGAGGCGGTGTTCTGCGCAGGTGCGGAGAAGCAGCAGACCATTGTCGTTTGAGCCGCGGAGACCGTGGGGACCCAGCACTCCTCTCCTGGCAGTATGGTCTGGGCCGACGCGGGGGTGTAGGGGTGTCAGGGGTGGGTTCAGGTGATGGTCGTAGTGGTCGCTCACTTGCTTGCAGGTGAGACTACGCCTAGCGTCCATTTGCTGGCAACTAACTCAAATCTATGGCTCCACATATCGGGGCTCTGCTTAGCGGCCACACACCGGGCAAACGTCTAGACCGTCGGGCTATACCAGGTGAGGGTATCTGTGCGTGCACCTGCACTCGCGCTTCTGTGATCTGCGCTGGTCGGTGGATCTCCCCGTCGACATAGTCGAGACGAGGCTCTGCCTGGACCATCGCAGGAGGCCACCAGGTAAGTTCGTCCTCAGGTAATTGCATTTACTCTGTCTCTGCCTTTGTCTGTTGAAGTTCCGTGTCGTATGCTGCTCTTGCTGCCTGCCCTATGTATGCTAGTCTGTCTGTTAATAGCTAAACGAAACCATCGCTGCCTTCAGCGATTGTCAGTCTGTCAGTCTATGCCTCTCTCTCTGCTACTAGCTAGGTGTTACGGTGCTTGACGTTGACTGGTGCCTTCACTTGTCTCTGACTGATGACTGTGTCCGCTTGTCCACCCTAGCTAGCTATAAGTCCCATAGCGTTAGGATGTGTTTGTGCTCTCTCCTACTTCACTCCCTCATATCACCATCACCACCAAGGTCCCAGGCTAATTCGGGTCATTCTCTCACTAACAAAATGTCGTGGCCCATAGTGGAGTCCGGCAGCCGTCTGGGATAACCGGGCAGCCCTGTTCAGGGATGCGTTTCCTGCCCTCGCGAGGGTGAGGGGGATAGATAAGGCGCCCTAAAGATCGCTAAGAACCACGCGGTCGGTAGGCTGGCCGTGGCCGCAGACAAAAAGCACACGGTCGAAACAGCCAAAACCGAAACAACAACAACAACAACACCAGCAATCACTCTCTCCCTCATCCAGCCTATTCTACTGCTTCTCCTTCTCCTACGATTCGCCGCCGCAGTCGCCAGACTGGCTGGGTGAGCCCGCTCACTCTGGCAGTCTTGAATGTTCGTTCCTTTTTAGACAATCCGAGGAGCAACCGACCGGAACGGAGGACGGCGCTAGTGGCACGAGAACTGGCGCGCTACAAGGTGGACATTGCCGCACTCAGCGAGACCCGATTCTCCGAACAAGGCCGACTGGAGGAGGTTGGTGCCGGCTGCACCTTCTTCTGGAGCGGTCGACCCAGGGCAGAGCGACGAGACGCGGGTGTCGCCTTCGCCATTCGAAACGTCATCGTGGGACGACTGCCCTGTTTGACGCAGGGCATCAGCGATCGCCTGATGAGCCTCCGCCTGCCTCTCTGGGGTGACAAATTCGCCACAATCATCAGCGCCTACGCTCCGACAATGACCAACCCCGACGCCGTCAGTGACAAATTCTACGTATACCTGCACGCCCTCTTGGCGACTGTGTCGTAGGCGCACAAGTTGATTGTCCTTGGTTATTAGGGCATTAAGTAACCAACTTTCACACATCAAACAGTAGAGACCAACTATGCAAATTTCAATCAGATGTAATCTAGTACGTCGTAAGGCCTCACGTAAAAACACTTAATAAAACACTTTGATGATCAAAGGTCTCATAAATGCTTGGTTACAGTTGTATAATACTTCGACGTACATTGCGGTTACAGTCTTTCGTAATATAGTCAATGGCAGACCGTCAATATAAACGGTGCGAGCATTCCAAACCTACCCACATGATCTCCGCAAGAGGTAAGATTTTAATAAGGCTCTGTTGTGTACTGTGTTAGTGTCAATTATATGAATGTGACAGCCCCATATGGCTTACAAAACGTGCCATTTTCTGCTCTGAAAATTACATTTCTTACTTACTGCTCTGTTTTGTGGTGATTTTTAGTTTAGCTGAGTTTATAATTTGACCGCGTCCGCAGGGCGACCTGCTTATGTTACAAAAGTCGTCAGCTGAAAAGCCCAGTCGAGAGTGAATTCGCTACGCAGAATCATGCTTTTATCGTAAGTTGTAGTAACGTCGGTGTGGATTAGACCATGTGTCTACGCACTTATTCAATTGCAATGCGGAAATTGGCATAAATATTAGTCAACACTTCCCTCAATGCACAAGGCACACAGCCAAATGAGAAGCATTTGGTCTATTACCTGGTAGGCAGACAGTAGATATGCGTACTCTGGAAATGCCAACCGAAGTACTGAAATGGTTTTTGGGTTGAACAAATATTTAACTACGATTGAAATATTAACTACGATTCACCAAAATTCCATAAGAATTTAGGTAACTTTTGATGTTGGCTTACAAACTAGCTTCTGCTCGATTGCTTGTAAAAGGTGGGCGATTATATAGCAATTATGTTTAGTTGATTTTGAATTCCCTTTAAATATTTAAATATATTTAAATAGACGTGATCACGGATATGCATTCTCTTACTCAGTTCGTGTAATAACGTCTTTTCTAAATTGCTAATTGTCTGTAGATTACAATCATGTTTTATATATTTTCATTTCACGAATAATTCGGTCCGGCTTCCGGGTGCACTTACGTGCCAGGGTTTTAAAATTACACGCTGTTTATTTTCCATGTACAGGAAACCACTGCCTTATCGGTTTCATCAAATGTATCGGTAGATTTAAATCCTATTGTTTACCTTAGATGGAACCTTAGTAAATGCAGGGGCATGATATATATTGCACGAAGATTTCACGCTCTTAAATGTCTTATAACTTGAAACATTTTTTTAAACCGTATTGTATCATTCCTTTAAGTTAGCAGTTTTGAAGACGTATTTTTCTATTTAAGTAATAAAAATATATATGTATGAGCGGGTTTCGAATAGGATACTTTTGAATATTTGCAGGCTTTGAAAATAAACATGAAAAAGTCATGCTACATATGTAGTCATAATATAAGGAATACTCTTTTGCAGGCAACCGTAAAGTAAGTCATTTAAAAGACGGCATCGGGATATAAGTAAATCAGCATAAATTTTTTTTGCGTGGTGATTAATATTATAACCTTAAATAAAAATACGTTTAACTTCCGCAAATATTCCCATGTTACAATTGAAAAGTCAAGTTGGCTAACGCACGTTTTCGGTAATTCTACCTGAGGCCAATACAATTTCATGAACGAAAGAAAATGTACAAATTCAACAATTGTAACGTAGGAATATTTGCGGAACCTAGACAATCCAAAGATCCCTCGGTGTTAAACGAACTCAATGAATTCCTAAAGTTTAACACCAGACTTGAGGAGGCACATGTGACGAGGAACTTCTTATCCGGATGCATTGAACGGGGTGAATATCCCAAATACTGCTGGAAAACTTACGGAGAAATCATATCGCCGCAAATTCAACTGCACTAGAACGACACGCAGAAAGTAACATTGAGACAGTTAATGCCGGAATTAAAGAACTCCAGCGGAACTTGTGTCAGCGATCAGGGGCTCTCGACTGCCTTGATAACCACGAAAGATAAGCATTTAAAGAATGGAGACCAGGTGGACTAAGCCCCTAAGAAGCGTCCAGTCAGTAAAACCTCAGACCATCCTTCCGAACAATCTGGAACGGTACGTGCATAACTATTATTCAGTACGACTTGATAAAGATATCGTAGAGGTACTAGCTCGTGGCCCTAAGTTTTGTTTTGCACGGCAGATGCCGAAAAAATTAGAGCTAGAAATCCAATTTGAGAGTCTCTTCAGTCAGACTGCAGATCAAAAACCCACCGAAGGTAAATAAGTTGATTGTCTTAAGTCGACTGTTGTTAACTGCTGCCAACACTATCTAAGGAGGTCCCCGAGAAACAAGGGTCCCTTGACAAAGGCCCATATCGATAGCCTTAGGGAGTTTCGTATAAACAAAAACATTGTGTTTACTAGACCGGATAAATGCTCAGGAGTAGTACTGATGGATAGGACGGATTATGTGGCGAAACTAGAGGAAATACTGTCGGATCGTTCCAAGTTCTCAAAATCTGAGAAAGATAAGGATCGCACGGAGGCTGTCGAGGGTCAGCTGACGACTATTCTCAAAGATCTCTGCAAAGAAGGCCATTTGTCTAGCAAAGATTATGAACAACTGAGACCGGTGGGCTCGACAATACCAAGAATGTACGGCCTTCCTAAAATTCACAAACAAGGGCTGCCTCTACGACCAATCTGTGATATGAGGAATTCGCCCTATCTTACCATTGCAAAATGGCTAGTCAAAAATATGAACGTTGGCGGACGGAGGATGTTATCACTGTTATTATTGTTATTGCTATCGTTATTGTTATCGCTGTTTACCAACATACCCGTGGCAGAAAATATAAACTATCTTTGCGATGTTATTCGTGATACGAGCTACCCCATAGACATGCATGTGAAAACGCTAAAATAACTACTGACGCTTTGCACGCAAAATGTCCAATTTCTATGCAATGGTCAATTATACAGGCAGGTAGATGGTTTGGCATTGGGATCACCGCTTGGACCCTTCCCTGCAAATGTTTTTATGGGTAAATTCGAGAAAACAAGCTTGCAAGAGACCATTAATGGCCTCATCTTCTACCGTCGGTACGTGGATGATATTTTCTGCCTGGCGGATGGTACCACCGATAACGTGGAGCTTGTCCAAATGTTCAATAGTGTGCACCCCTCGCTAAAGTTCACTGCAGAGGCCGAGGCAGATAACGAACTTGCCTTTCTCGATGTCCTTCTGCACAGGCAAGAGGATGGGTCTATCCAGCGCAGGGTGTTCCGAAGGAAAACCTGCACGGGACAATGCGTTAATTTCCACAGTTTTGTTCCCCTAAACATCAAACGGACCTTAGTCCAGGGATAAACGGCTAGAGTGAGACGCATCCGCTCACCTGAAGCTATTGAAGAAGAACTTCAACAGCTGCGGAACACACTTCGGGAGAACGGATACCCAGATAGAGTTATCCTCCAAAATATTGGGGAACGCGTTAAGAAGCCCACTGTTGCGACTGCGGAAAAGAACTATGTATTGATAAGATTGCGTTTTAGAGGAGACGCAGAGAGCGAAGTTGTCCGACGGCGCTTAACTACAGCTATCACGAGGGCATTCCCTTCGGCGAATTTACGCGTATGCTTCACAAACTCTCACCTCCTACGTTTGGGAGGTAAAGACAGACTACCATTGGAGGCCACATCAATGTGCATTTATTCATTCACTTGCTCCTGTGGAGCAGGATACATCGGCCGCACAACGAGACGCCTGGTAAAGAGGGTGCGTGAACATATGCCCGCCTGGCTAGACAGAGGTGAGACCTGGTCGATTTAGAGTTCTATTCTCGCGCATTTAATCGATACGAACCACAGCTGCGATGGCAAGAAAGCATTTCAGGTTGTCTACCGGACACCAACATGCTTCTCTAAAGGCCTACGCCAACGGATACTAGCAATGGCCGAGGCAGTAGCGATACGGTTAGTGAATCCGGTGTTATGCTATCAGAAAACTCTGACACAAGCGCTTTCGCTGCCGTGGCCAACGCCAACCCCAAATGATGAAGCCATGCCGCCTCAAATCCCTAATCGCGATGATGAGTACACCGTGAACTCAATCGAAGAACATCACTCAAAGACTATTTTACCCCCCTCCTCTAGCTCTGACGACCAATACCCGCCGACCTTCTCATGCAGGCGGCGTGGGGATGATGAGTGTTAGTGACTTAATAGCCCTTGAGGCATCTATAAACACTGTTGATTTTGTACGTTTTCTTTCGTTCATGTAATTGCATTGGCCTGAGGAAGAATTACCGAAAACGTGCGTTCGCCAACTTGACTTTTCAAAAAATATGTTTATGTTGAAAACACATTTCGAACTTTCTGTTGACATTTCATTAGGTAACATGTCTACTGTACATAGCTCAACTTTGTCGTATCATTTAAAGTTGTAGACAGATATGAAAACAACCAATCAAGAAATATTTGAAACAACGAAGCCTTCCCAAATTAAAATTTCTATATTTCATTTCACAGAGATTAAAGCTTAATGGGCTGACGATAACCTTTTCTCCCTCCACACTGATGATCTCAGGTCCCTTAATGACTGTCTTCTGGTCAAGTATGCTGACGATGTGGTTGTTGGACACCCTCTCAAAAGTCAGACACACCTCCGGTCTCTAAAGGATGGCTTAAACCATGTCCTAGCGTGGTCGGAGGAAAATGGTCGCCTAATTAACAACCAAAAATCCGTTCAGTGTATTTTTCGACTGCGGCCCTCTCCTAACCCTGATTCCTCTGACATTCTTCATAATGAGGTATCCTCTTTCAGGTATCTCGGCGTTACTTTGTCCTCAATTTTTTCTTTTTCCCTCCATATTGAGTCCCTATTTATTAATGTTCGTAAACTTCTTTACTACATTCGTCGTTTACTTTCCTACCACACACCTCAATCCTTAGTCTGGCGATTTATTGATGCCTGCATTCTTCC